GCACTTTTTTTACAGACTTTGAAAAAGCCTTTGATAGTATCAACCATAACTTTATTTTTCAAGTTTTGGAATTTTTTAATTTTGGCAATACAATAATCCAATGGATAAAACGTTTAGACTCACCGGACCTATGCTCGCCCAGGCGCATGCTCGCCCAGATTTTTATTTTTATGATATAAACTTATAAAAATAAATATTATCTGAATCATGTGTTGTTGTTTCTTGATGCTGCAAGTGTTCTTGTTTCTCACCTTGTTTTCGAAGAGTTTAACGGAAGTTGTTAGCATAATAAAGCAGACGAAAACGAAAACGGAAGTACAAATGAAAGTCCGTGATGCTAATAAAAACAACGAGTCATGTGTGACTATTTAATAAAATCTCAATAAAAATAAACTTAAAATAACAATTAAACATTGTTCTTACTTTTTGTAAAGTTTATGTCGTTCAGATATACTTAAAACAGTCATAAACTGGTATTGACACCAGCTGTCATATTGTTTTTCTACATGCAATTTCCAGGGCAGCCATAATAGACGGCTTTTTCCATTAAATCTGTCGCTTTTGGTGCATTTATGGTGTATTTTTTGGTTAGACATTGATTTATCAATAACTTAGTAGATAATAACAGCTTTAAATATAAAATTAATTACTTTTTTCGTTTTTTTATCAGAAGTTACTAAAAATAACCTAGGTCTTACGCCACTAATATTCCCATATCCTTTTCAGAGTGATCAGTATGCTCAAGTAACAAAAAATTCATGATCCTGAGACATTTGAAAAGGCAAGAAAGCTTTTAAAAGAGCAATATGACAAGTAGTGCCACTATGAGTGCTTGCCATCTAATGTGCAAACAGATGTAGATCTGAGTTAAGTAACCAGCACAAGGTGGTTTTGTAGATATTGTAAAGAGGTGTAATTGTTGAAACTGTAGACCACACACTGTTGTTTTTTCTAGTTTATGTTTCTAGTTAACTTTTTGGTTTGAAAAAAAACTTATTTACATGGTACTAAGTCACATAAACTTTTTAGTCACACCCTACCAACAGCAGTTGACTATCTTTTTAAAAAAATGAAAAGTCTACATAGTCAGTATATCTTAATAAGTTTTTCGGTGTAAAAATATAATTATATGCAAAAATATAAATACCCGCTATATATTAACAAATTAGTCTAAAAATATGATGAATGATTCCAGGTTATATCCGTTTTATATTCGTAATATACCGGAGGGCGAGCATGGGTCTCCTCCCTTCAACATTTCAGAATATTAATTTGGTGGTGTTTGACCTGGCAGACAGTACCCGGATGTAAGTGTTTATGTTTTAAATGGGTCACATTACGTTCCAAATATGACCAGCTATAAAAAAAATTCGAAAAAGTTTTTTTCAGGTCAAAGTGTATTAAATAGTTATCAAATAATTGCCTTTATTGGGCGAGCATAGGTCCAGTGAGTCTATACAATGACCCACAAAGCTGTGTTATCAATAACGGACACATGTCAGATTTCTTTAAAATACATAGAGGTGTACGTCAAGGATGTCCACTTTCTCCATAGATATTTATTGTATGCATCGAACTCCTTTCAAACTGTAAACATGAAAAAATAAAAGGGATAAACATAAATGGAATCGAGATTAAAAATGTGTTATTTGCGGATGATGCAACCTTTGTAACTGATTGGTCAAAAGAATCTTTCGAAACATTAATTGCAATACTCGATGATTTCAATAAAATATCAGGCCTAACATTAAATGAAAAGAAATGTAACGTATTAAAAGTAGGCTCATTAAGAAACTCCGAAACTAAATATTGCCGAAATTTCCAATGGACTTCTGACAATGCAAAATCTTTAGGTATGACATTTTGTGCAAACTCTACTTTAACTCTCCAAAAGAATTTAGAACCTAAAATTCATGCTTTTAAAAATTGTTTAAAACAATGGCAACACCGAAAACTTACACTTCTTGGAAAAGTTACTTTCATCAAATCTTTTGCTTTACCAAAACTGATCTATGCTTTATCTGTATTACCTTTACCTAGCTTGAAAATTATAAAAACTTTAGAAAAATGTATGTTTGATTTCATTTGGGATAATAAACCAGAAAAGATAAAAAGGGATACATTGAAGAAAAAGTATGAAAATGGGGGAATAAAAATGATTGATTTGAGAAAATATATATTATCAATAAAAGCGACCTGGGTGAAAAAAATAAATAAATGATGACTCGACATCTTTAATAAAATCTATATACTTATCTCAATTAGACAGATACGGAGGCATGTTACTTTTGAATGTGAAATAAATGACAAATTTATACAAAGCAAATTTAAAAGTTATCCATTTTTAAGAGATATAATTTCATCCTGGAACCAAATAAAAGTCATACCAAAATGTAACAACCCAAATAAACAAATAATTTGGAATAATATGAAAATAACATCAAATGAAAAATCTTTCTTCTATAAGTCTTGGTATGAAAAGGGTATTGTGTATTTGGAACATCTGTTTGACTTTAGAATTAATCAATTTTACACTTTTGAAAATTTTAAAACAATTTATCAAATCCCTGATGCAGATTACCTCAAATATCAGACTTTAATAAGAAATATACATCCTGACGTCATTACAGGTATCAATCTAGACAACGTCAATATCAATACCCCAAATAGATATATTTTAGCGTCATTTATTAAAACAAATGAAACCAATAAATTTCTATATGAACATCAGTTAAAACGAGATAACATTATCAAAAATACTGCAGAAAATAAGTGGGAAAATATATTTGAAAACGAAAATATATGTTAGGAAAAAACATACAAAAACATTCTATCAACAACGATTGACACTAAGTTTAGAAATTTTCAATATAAATATCTACACAGAATAATTGCAACAAACAAAAGACTTCTAAAACAAAACATTTCTTCCTCGAGTCTTTGTGATTTTTGTGCAATGGATATTGAATCTATTGAACACCTCTTTTGGCAATGTTCTTACACGCAACTCTTTTGGAGGGATTTAATAGAATATTTCAAAAAAAGGAATATTATTATAGAAATTAATTTGAAAACAATATCTCACTTAATTACAAGCACAGATACACAAAAAGATGCAAAAAACTTTATTCTTTTGGAGGCAAAATACTACATATATAGTTGCAAAATTGGAAAACGCACACCACAATTTAACTTATTTTTACATTATTTTCGGAGCAGACTATGTATTGAAAAATGTATTGCATTTAATCGAGATAAACTGGAAACTCATTTTCAAAAAATGGAATAGAATTTTCCCAGATACGAATATAATAACATATGAAAATACCTTACTTACATGAATAAAAAACAATTATGTTTAGAAGCAGTCAAAAACTGTAGATGTATCTTCTGTTTTTTTTCTTCTTGTTCTTTTGTATTTAATTTTTCACCCCCTTTACTTTCCCTTTTTTTTGGTTTAAATATTAGGTTACACTAATACGAGTATCGTATTGCCGATGGTACCCGAAATGTATGTGTGCTGTTTTGTGTGTGCTGTTTTGTGTGTGCGTTATGTTCGAAATATGTATAGTTACAAATCCTGTTGGTATCTATGAATTGGAAATGTGGGTGTATGGGTGCGGATGTGTGTGCGTGCGTGTGTTTGGGTGTGAAAAAAACAACTCTTTGTGACCATGCTTTTGTATTATCTGGACAGAAGTTTATTATATGTTATGTACACTGTATTACTGTATGATCACTGAGAAAAAAATAAATAATAATAAAAAAAGTCTCGGCACATGCGAACAATGCAAGATAATCTGTATGTTGAAGAGGGAACTATTTTACGAAAGTTTAAGACACTGATTTCCAAAAGATGGCTCTATGTAGTCGGAGTCCTCATGCTCGCGGAGACTCACAGAGAAAGCATCTTTTCAAACTAAGTTGTGTTTTTGTCCCATGATAATGGTCATTTCACGAACAATTGTTATGTCTTTTTAACATTAATGACAATAGAATGCAGTCATTTTAATACCAGCAGGCGATTCCATTTAATAGCGGAACAACATATATACACATCTATACATTATTCTGAATGCTATGCAATATTATAAAGTACCATGTAGCTGTCCATTATAAGTTATTTCCGATGGATTTGCAAATTGTTATAAGCTCCTGGTCCATTTTGAATAAAAGAATAAATATTTATCACTTAAAGATCTGGAATCTGGGAATATTTTAAGTCCCAGACGGAGTACAAACATATTAGTTACTGTTTCATGTGTATTACCATAATTATATAGGCATTTTTGCATTATTATTTTGATCACTAATGGTCTGTCAATTGGTGATCAGTTTTCAACGGGTTCATTTTTTCATGCGTGGGTAGGTCATTAGATATTGAGAAGGGGTCAACTTTCAAGGTTTAGAATTGATCAAAATTTAATGAAAAGTGACCAATGGGAACATTTTTCAAAATTCAGTGTTACCCCGGCCAGTCAGAAAGATTAACGTCGTTGTTAAAGTTGAATATGCTTTATTTGTTGATTAAATAAATGCAAAACATTTACGTTATTATGTTTGCATCATCATATAGGTAATTAAAATTCATATGAAAAAAGCTTTGAAATGATAACAATCATACACTGTGTAATATTTGACTAAGATCCATTAACGCGCACTGATTTTATAAGCCGCTTCTACCAAATTTCAGAGACCAAAGGCGTGTAAATCATCAAATGTTGACCTCATTCCTTCAAAAATACATAATACCAATTAAATAGCAAAGCGCCTTGCTATGTTTACCCTCTCATATATGTTTCTTTCCGTTAATAATTTTCAATAAAGTTTTGTTTTTCTTATGAAAAATAAAAGATATTAATCGCATATAAGCCTATTTACATTTTTTCGTTGTGATAAAAAGTGAGTGACCAATTAGAAATTCGTCGAAGTGTGCATGTGCGCATAGGAAATACAGAATACATATTCAAATAATTGCAGAAATCATAAAAGGTACTCACTTATATTTTGTCCAACAAACAAATAAAAAACAAGTTTTGTACTTTACAGGTACCACATTTTTCGTATATATTTCCCTGCTTACGTCTTTGCTGAAATTCAGATAAAACATTATTATTCACTTGAATTAAAAGTGGAAAATCAAAGATTTGCGTTCAGCATTTGTGTAACCACGTTTATAAACACTGTTGAATTGAAAAAGAAGAAACAGAACAGAACAGAAACTATTTCAAACTTGTACAAAATACATTCTCATGTAAAAGAAGAAAATATCCAGCAAAGTGCAGAATGATGTCAGTTATAAACATACCAGGCGGGTACATTGTTTACAGTTTGTAAGCAGGTACATGTTTATGCATCTGCCTCGTCACATTAATTGTATTTGGAACACGAAAGTCCTCTGCGCTTAATAAAAAGGAGAGCGCGATATTTCTGGAACTCTTTAGCACAGAGATACTTCTACTTAAGAACTCATATAATGATATTATGGAAATGAAATTTTGGCATGATTATAGGAGAACGCGAACATTCAATTGCAATTTCCTGAGTGTGTGTGCGTGCTTGTGCGCTCGTGTGTGTGTATGCTTTTCAGGTTTTCCGTTGTTGATGGTGGTGGTGATGGTGGTGGTTGTGATGTTTTGTTTTTTGTTGTTTTAGACGTAGTAGTAGTGGTGGTTGGGGTAGGGGTGGTGGGGTAGAAGTAGTGGTAGTTGTTGTAGTAGTACAAGTAGCAATAGTAGTAGTAGTAGTGGTGGTGTTGGTGGTAGTAGTAGTTGTTGTTCTTGTTCTTGTTGTGGTAGTGGTGGTTGTGTTGTTGGCGGTGATTGTGATGATAGTGGCATCGGTAGTGGTAAAAGTAGTGGTAGTGGTAGTAGTAATAGCTGTTGTTGTTTTTGTAGTAGTAGTAGCAGCAGTAGTAGTTGTTGTTGTAGTAGCAGTAGCAGTAGTAGTAGTACGTATACAAGCTAGGGAGTATGTTTTGAGCGTTAATTAAGGAACAAGGAAGTACATGTAGTCTTTGTGCGATGTCAAAGGAATACGATATTCATTGTGTGGATACGGTAGTATTCATAGTGAGATGTGATAGGAATATGGTTTTTATTGGGCGATGTCGTAGGAATACGGTATTATTAATTCGGTGATGTTATAGGCACAAAGTGCAAGTCTTTAGGTCTTGTCATAAAACACGGAAGTAGTTATTGGGCGTTGTTACAAATACGAATACGTGCAAATATTTTGGCGTTATTAAAGTAGTCATTGGACCTTATATAATATAGAAAAGTGAGAGAAGTCTTTCGGCATTATATGAACAGAAGTTGTGAAGAAGTCTTTGGGCGTTTTTTATCATTAGATTAGTGTACAAACATGTGAGTAGTCTACACGCGCAATTATATGAGTAACTTGAGTAGTATTTAGGCATGCTGTAAGGACACTTAGCAAGTCTTCAAAGTGTCTATGCTTTGGCAACATAAGAGTAACCGTTTCGTTAGAAATACATATTTGGGCGAAGTGATAGTGCATCCCAGTCAAATAAACATATAGATGATTAACGACCAACATGGAGAACGGTGGCCTAGAGTTCGAAGTTAAGGTGTGTGCCTCTTCACAAAGGGATCGTGGGTTCGAGCCTTACTAATATTACGATGTTTCTTCGTGTGACACGAGTAATGGCTAGTACCAGGAAGTGGACTCGAGAGTGTACATATTAAGTAACAAACTTTTTTCTTCACAACTGAGATTAAATAAAAAATTGTTTAAAACTAAAATACGATATTCAATATTAATTAGATATTTTCTTAACACTCACTAATATGTTCTTGTATAATTTGTCTGGCCATTTTCGCAATAAAATCCATAAGACTGGCCAACTATAAGGAGAATCACCATGGTAATGCAAATCAGTATCTTCAACATCTCTAATTTCCGTAATTGGGGCATTTCTAGACTTTCCAGGCGTCTATATAGATGGTTTCCGGACTTTTCAAACGTCCTTGTTCTCCGGACTTACCGGTAGTCTTTGTTCTCTGGATTTTTCAAAGCTTCTTTGTTTTCTGAAATTATTTATGACAATGGATTTATATCTATATACAGAGAGACAACAATGAAGTGTATCCAGTAACTATATTCAGATATGAAAAGAAATGCATAATTGGTATTAGGTAAGAGAGAAATACTGTAATGATTTTGATGAGTTGTTTCACATGAATGGTTATTATTATCATACAGAGTCAACATAAAGAAATGTCATATATACCAGTATTTCCATTGGTCAATGTTGACCTATATCAGCCACACACCTTTACAGCGAAGTTAACGTTATTAGCAATGATTTTTACTCATTTCTGCAAAACAAGTCCCGACAGTCCGTTACAACTGTGTATCTTGTGTCTGTAACGATTGGTCTTGTTTACAGAATATTATAATTTTGTGTTACAAAGGTAAAGATGATTATAATATTTTATTTGAGCTATAAAATTTAGTAATTAACAACCAAAGAATTAAAAAATCTGAAAATGGAACACGACACAATCAAAATATGCCTTTAACATATTGTCTAATAAGAGCAAAAAATAATGTTGTTGTTTTTTTGTTGTTTTTTTTGTTGTTTTTTTGTTGTTTTTTGTTGTTATTTTTTGTTTTTTTTTTTGGTTCAACGTGAAAGAACAAATATACACATTACACATAAAACTATTGTATCAATTATTTCAAAGTTGCCTTATACAATACAAATTTGCACTAAAACGACATAAAACAAAGTAAAATTGAAATACTCCAGGCTGTGAACATTACTCTATTACTCAGTAATATCAGTGATTAATACATATAATTTTTCAAAGGCAATGTCATGCCCCTTAATGCAAAAAAGTAATAATTTCAAGGCACAGAAAATGGCAGAACTCTATTATCTCTAATGGATAGATAAAATCAAATTTAACCTGTGCTTGATATATACCTTATTGACAAAATTAATATTATACAAATTCTCAAAAGTAATCCTGCGGAATCTAAGGCAAACATTAATTTCACAGAAAATGTGTATATAAAGGTGCATAACTATATCAATAATAAATTGATTGTATAATGGAAATCAAACTTGACCTTTGTCTTGATATAACTTATTCCATGCCAAATAAAAACATCCTGTGGAAACTAATAATTTTACAAAAACAAAAAATTCACAGAAAATGTTCTTTAAACGGGGCATTACTCAATACTAAACTGATGTAGAAATACAGTGTTATTTACGCGCAATTCAGTTCTTCACAATATATCCGGCATCGTATACAAAATAATTAAGCAAACAAGAATTCAAGAAATTTATTTAGATAATTACAAATGATAACGTTTAAGTATATTGTTGGCGCAGCATTCTTGATGCGAATCATAAATTGCCTATGCGTTAACAATAACAAATAAGTTTATATCAGATGTTAAGAATAAGATGTTATGCATTTACGTAGATACAAAAACAAGTGTTAAATGTGCAGTCTCCGATATGACAGTAATGTATACATGTTGAGATGTTGAGGAAGCACCACATTTGCACAATGATAAGTAACAGAAAAATGTAAGAAGAAAATATATACTACAAAGTGCGAAATTAAGTGTTTTTTCTGTTTTATTATAATTATTATTATTATAATTATTATTATTATTCAGATCAGGAATGTTATGCTTCGTAACAAACAACTTTGTATTTATACCATTATAGTAAGCAGTTCTCACAATGTTCATAGGGCCCAACTTGAACTGTAACTTTACACACATGAGAGGTATTGTCAAATTTATATAAACATGGAACAGAATACAATAATTATAATAATATCTTGTTGAATTTAAACTACAGATACAACCATAATGTTATTGGTACACTTACGTTTTATACAGATTTTTTTCTGGCGAGTAGTGTCTGTGCATGTGATACATGCATTAAAGTTAGGCAAATAATAATATTTGCTTATTTGGTACATATTTGTGCTTGGCTCACCTATTATTATATCCCTCGGCTAGTGTGTTGGGATGTTGTACCCAAGTTACAGTTTCAAAGTCACGTTCAAGGTGATCTTCTGACACAATAAATGCATAAACGTATGTGAAATCGCTCCCATGATTTTTAACAGTAATAAGTGTTACTAGTAGGACTTCAAAAGGTTTATTATATCACTTATACATTTTACAATTAGCACTAAAATCAAAGCTAATGTGCCTCATGAGATCCTATCCTAGTAAAATCCGCTCGTTCAAGTATCATAATTTCTACTATATTTACCTCCAAGATATACAGATGTATTTATATGATGATGCAACTTAATGCTTCCATATTTTCACAAGTGCTATTGGTAGTCATTTGTTGGATTGCAAAGTTATCTTAAGGATCACAGGTGGCAGTATCGGTGTTTTGGACACCCCACCCCTATCTGCCCCTGGACCCCTACTACAACCCTACTGCAAGATTTAGAGTGTTATTTTTTTCAGGGTTGTAGAAGGGGTCCAGGGGCAGATAGGGGTGGGGTGTCCAAACACCGATACTGCCACTTGTGTTAAGGATAGCATTCAAATGGCCGACATTTAGTTGAAAATATGTTTGTAATTTTGGTAAAAAAAATAAAAATATAGCATTGAAGGTTTTACGGAATGTTTTTAAAAAATTCGCTTATACTTCTCCGAAGATGTCGAGTACACCAATGGCCTTAACCTTTGACACTGTCCATGACATTGACCTTCAGTAGTAGCTTTTGGTCATTATTTTTATGTCGATCTCTTTTCAAATGCCTAAAAATCTTTCATTTAAGACTGCGCCAAGATTTAATTTAGCAGAATGTTTTTTAGTAATAATGTTTTAAAGTTATGACTGACATGCATTAACATAACTTTTATACTTCCGGTATGCTTAGTGACCTTGAGACGCATATATGGAAATGAAGATTCTGACTTTTTCTGAAGACATAAAGTGATCGAAACCTCCGATTAGTTACAACATACAACATCAATCCATTTACGTTTGATTTTATTTAGATTATTGTCTAAACGTGTCATTTAAAGAACGATTTTAGAAAAAAGAAGAACAATGAAAAGTACAAATCTTTTAAGATGTATTCTCTCTTTTCTTGTAAAAATACCCGCTTCTCCCCTCCGTTCCAACGAATACTGCAAACGGAATGATGACTATAAGGAAAATTAGAATGTTGTAATGCTTTGTTCTGTTGGCCAATATGACATTGACCCCGGTGACTAATAAGATGACCCTAGTGACTGATGGGTGAAGATTTACACAAGATGCGTGTTTTTTCCTGATGGAAAAGTTTGAACGCAAGGGTCAGTCTTGGTAAATAGTACACAACATGTACTACCTAAACACAAACCATTGCCGTTGGTGACAAGAACAATGTTTAAAGTATTTCTTTAGACCTATTTCTGTGAAAGTCCATATAGATCCAATGGTCTCTTAAGATCTGAATGTAAATTCTGATTCTGGTTATATGATTTCATAAAATTAAGTAGAGGTTTGGTATTGAATACCACAATCTAAATATCTCATACAATAGCATTGTGCCTGGTAAAGCAAGTATCAGAGTGAATAATGTTTTGTTCATCGTTGATTGAAATTAGTTTATATATTGGCAACACGCTTGTAGTTTAGAAAATAATGAAAATACCCATGGCACAATTTCTCTCGCATCTTCATTCTCTCGCAAACCGTATAAGCCGTGTGTTCGTATAGGATGTCGACCGAGTACGAGGTCTTTCTGTTTAGGAAGACCTGGTCACGAATTTCATGTGACACCGAGAGCGCGTAGCGCTCGAGGTGTTTCATGAAATTCGTGACCAGGTCTTGCCTAAACAGAAAGATCGATGTACGAGGCCGATATCCAACTTACACACCGTTAAAACTATATTGGCTTGAGCAATGCCTGATCCGAATCATTTGATGAAATGCACAAATATTAGTTTTAACACAACGCATATACAGGTAAGCTTTTATCAACGTTCTGCTTAAATACAATATATTTTTTTTTGCATTTAAATTAATTTTGCTTTCCCCTTTAAAATCAAAAAAGCTAAATGTGCAATTTGTCAATAATAAAGTGAACAAACTGTAATAGAAGGTGTGTTAAAGAATGGATGTTGATAATATTTCGTATCAGACAATGCAGATTCTAGGACATTTGCCCCGGACAGTTGCCCTCCGGATGTTGCCCCCTCTTTTCCGTTGTGATTTGTCACTTGTCATCTCGTGTATAGATTTTTTAGTATTATTTGTTTATGGATGCTATTTTGACTTTCACAAATTTGCGCGAGTTTTTGTGTATTTAAGCACCATGAAATTTCCACAATAGGCGATAAATTATGGTAGCAAACAATTCAACAATAAAATATTTTTTTAAACAGGGAGTGGGGGGGGGCATATGTCCGCCCCTTCCAATGATAAGAGGGGGCAAATGACCGCCACTGCAAAAAGGGGGCAAACTTTCGAGGGGGCAACTGTCCGAAGGGCAATGTGTGGATACCCAGCAGACCACGAAATAGATAAATACAGAATCCCTAAAGAAGGCCCACCACGGCAAAATTGAAAATGTTGCAGGCTCGGTTTGATTGAGTCTGTTCATGGACGGTACTGGAAAGTGCAAAAGAAAAGACTTACATATGTATATTGTTGGCAAGTGTAAGATACATGAACCGAAACTATATTTTATGTAGCAGATTATTATGTTCTGGAATAAAATATGATCGTTCATCATAAAATGTTTTAAACTAAATCAATTATAACTTTATTAACATTTTAAAATCGTAATGAGTATGCTGTGATTTCTGCTATATAGTTTCATAGATATGAACTTGAAACGTCCATTTTGTTATATTATGAACTTAATGACAGAATAACTATTACTTTTAAAATTACGCGATTAAATAAATGTTAAATGTGTCCTAACTTTGATATGCTACCCATTATTTTTATTCAAAGATTGAATATAGGGATGCTGGAATAATTTCTTTGTTAAAAGGGTTTTAATATTTGATTGCATTTCATGTTTTCTTTGTCTGCGCATAG